ACCAGGGGCTGCACCTAGGGATTGGGCCTGCCCTCTGCCACCCGGGAGCGGGCCTAAGCCAGGAGGGCGTTATCTCCGAGGGGTCCCAGACTGCGAGAGGGCACAGGCCAGGCTGAGGGCCCCCCCCTTCCCCCCGAGTGCACAAATTTTTGTGCACCGGGCCTCTAGTTACATAATAAAAGCTTAAAAGTTTACATGTACAGACATTATTAAGGCAAGATATTTTTCACTAGGATACAGGAGGGTAAATGGAGTGATTTGATAAGTACTATTGAGAATACTTATTTGATATCAACATTAGAGTTAGGAATTGGAAAGATTATGTAGTCGCCCACTGAGCTGCCCAAATATGTTATACAATCAGATGAACAAGATGGCAGCAAACCCACACAAGAGAAAAACTTTGTAGTAAGAAAGTCAGGTTCTCCCCTTCCATCCACCTTGCCATATTACCAAGATAAATAACCTATCTACTTTATCTCTAATCCTTTTTGGAGTGAGAATGGTACAAACAAATAAATCCTATAATTTTGCCATTGCTTTCAAGAATGCATAACTGAATTTCTAAGATCTCTTTCTCTAATTATTGATAATTTGTTCCTTTTGCCTATTTTCAATCAAATAGTTTGTTCCCTAGAGCTTTCTGACATTTTCCTGTACATTTTTTTCTGGTCAATCCTTTCATATCCTGAGGTATCCAAGTAATGATAATCCCATATTGCACCTACCCACAAGCTGTTAACCAGTAAAAAAAGGGAATGTTAAAAGACAATTTCTCCTGTACATAAAAATCAAGTATTATTCTTCTTTCTCTCATACAAGTTAAATGACTCAACTGAACAGACTGAGTTGCAGTTTATGTATTTAAAAATCTCCATCTGCCTATACAAAGCATACCTAAAACATTCCCTAACACAGCATCAAAATGGCATATGCAAACATATATCATCTCAATATACCATTAATCATGACTTTTTTTCAAATGCATATGCCATTAATAGTATACTGAGGTAATATATGTTTGCATATGCAATTTTTTCCTGCATTCACTTTCTCTGACATGAAAAATTAATGAAATATTCCTGATACAATTTGCATTAGGTTTATTAGAATAAGAGTTCTATCATATTATGGATATTAATGAAACAGCAAATCATAACAGACTAAATATATTAGAATATAGCTGTTAGTTAAAATGATTAAATTAGTCCTTCTCAAGAGTCATAGTTGCACTGGAATGTAGTCATGTCTTGGAGTATGCAGGCCTGACTGTAAAGAAACTTTAAGAAGGTATTCTCTGCTTAAGATGACAGAAGAATATAGCCTGGTAAGCATGAAATATATAGCCTTGTTCTTTTCTTTCTGTTCTTAAGATAATGTAACTGACTCACAATCAAACCCAAGATGTTTTACATAACTCTCTTTCTGTTCAACTACAGTCATAGTTAACTAGACCAGGGCAGGTTCCCACTAGGAGCTGAATAAATCAGATTGCTGAAGCTTGCATAGAAATTGACCAATCAACACAGCCCATGACCCTGAACCCCTTACTCATGACTTTTGCTCTTAAAAGCCCCAAATGATAAGTCATTTGGAAGATCTGGTGTTAAGTAATACAGCTTTCCATTTTTCTTGCTTAGCATTCTGGAAAAAAAAAATGACTGTACTTTCACCACTGCAAAACTGGGTATTCGGTGTTTGGCTCTGCTGTGTGCCAAGAGGGATGAACTCTTGTCCTGTTGAGTTACTTTAATTCTCTAAAATATGGACCATAACTGAGCGATAGCAAGAATATAGTTCTATATTCTTTATATATAAACTAGAGGCCCCATGCACGAAATTCATGCACGGGGGGTGGGGGGGTGTCCCTCAGCCCAGCGTGCACCCTCTTGCAATCCGGGACCCCTCCAGGGATGTCTGACTGCCAGCAATTGGACATCCCTCTCACAATCCAGGACTGCTGTCTCCTAACTGCTGGCCTGCCTGCCTGCCTGCCTGATCACCCCTAACCACTCTGACTGCCTGCCTGATCACCCCCCCTACCCCTGCCTGCCTGCCTGATGCCCCTAATGCTCACCTGCCTGCCTGACCACCCCTAACCGCCTCTACCTGCCTGCCTGATCGCCCCTAACCATTTGCCTGCCTTTTTGATCACCCCTAACTGCTCACCTGCCTGCCTGATCACCGCTAACTGCTCGCCTGCCTGCCTGATCGCCCCTAACCACTCACCTGCCTGCCTGATCAGCTCTAACTGCTCGCCTGCCAAACTGATCGCCCCTAATCACTCGCCTGTCTGCCTGATCGCCCCTAACCGCCTCGGCCTCTGCCCCCACCGCTGTGGCTTCATCATCCGGAAGGTTGTTTGGCTGTCCAGTCTAATTAGCATATTATGCTTTTATTATTATAGATATTCCCTAAACTCAGGAAACCCTATTCACACATACCTACTACATACAGAGAGAGCCCACTTAAAAAAGGTTTTATGTTATGTATTGTGATTTTCAAATGAAACCATACCAATACACTAGCACCTTTCATTTCTGTTCTTAATCTTTACAACATGCTTACCAAAAAAGAAAAAGTCAGTGGACTAAAAATGAAATATTGAAGCCTACTGTCCTGTTTGCTAGACCTGTACAACGTTGTTTTTGTCTAGGCAGCCAGAACACAGTTGTTCAATAGGGAAGGAAAGTCTGATTGATCTTAAAGAAATATCCAGTAACATAACTTGGGAACACATCTGAAATGTGTTTTTTTAATTTCTGTACAGTTACACATAAATTTATTACACAGAAAAGTTATATTAGGTTAAGTGATCAAAGTTGACCAAATCTGTTAACTTTACTTTGGAATCAGACATTTTAACACCATTCACACTCTTCCCCCAAAAGACAAGCCTCAGCTGATAACTTTCACATAGTAATTACCTTCTCTACATTCCTAAAAATGAACTATGAACTAATATGAACTGTCATCTCTTTATAGGTATTTGACTTCCAATTAAAGCATTCACTGCTCCAAATAATCTACTACAAAGAGTAATTACTAGCCTATCTCCTGCTGTTTTAGACAGACTTCATTCAGATCCATACTGTTTACTTTAAATCAATTTAGAAATTAAAGTACAGCCAGAATACAATAAGTTGGTTGCATTTTTTTTTACAAAAAAACATAGTGGTTTTCAATATCCACATCTAAATCCTTAACACTGCTTAACACTCGTTTCATAAAGCAAATGTTTACTTGTTAGATCAATCAAGTTACACATTTTCTCCGAGCCCCTAAGTAAGACTCAACACTGCACTAAAGTATTTGTTAATAAAGGTGTTTTACTGTAAACTAGACACTAATTTTTATTAATCCCAGGCAATTTGTTTCAAATCATAGCTCTGTTCACTTTTGTCTTAAAACTCTTTTCTTATATCTCTCATATTAGAAACAAAGCTTTGAGAGACATTTTAACCAACCACTATATAATAAAAACCCCAAATAAAAATTAAGGTAAAACTATTACAAAGCAACAAACATACTAACACATTTCTGGAATATTCTAAAATATATCCAAGTAACCAAATAGCAAACATTTAAATAGTATATCCAGACACTGGTAATGCAGAGCATGGAAATCTAATTAATGTTTACCTGAGCATCTTTTAAATTGTACAAATGCCAAATAGGTTTAACAATGCAGACCTAACCATATCTAAGCATATACTTTTCTTGACATTCCCTCCAAACAAATATGTCACACATCTGTACAAACAAAATGCAGCCATTTAAATATAAATGATCTTCACAATGAAATAATAAAAGAATGAGAATCACACTGTAAGTTAAATCATCATTTTAATGTGGACTTGGTAAACCTAAGTTTGCACACGTCTAGCAAACGGGGTAGTAGGCTTCAGCATTTTTGTAGTTCATTGACTTTTTCCCTACCTAAGATTATAAAGGACTTCAAAATTCCCAGAGAGGCTTCAGCACTATTTAAAAACATGTACATCTTATATAAAACCCAAACTAATATGAAAAACCTTGAATCTCACTGACCTTGCTTTCAAATAGTTAATAGTTATTTACTTATCATCCATAAGATATATAAATATGATAGAGGAATGTTTTCATAATATTAAAAATTTAAGATTTCAAGTAAAAGATCCTTTCCCATCTTTTTTACTAGGCCTCATTGCTGCTGCTGCTGCTGCTGCTGCTGCTGCTGCTGCTGGTAGAGGTATCTCCTAGTTGGTAGAAGAAACTGTTGACCTTAAACAAATACACAGCCAGATATTTTTCCAGCAAAATGGGTTTATTTGAGAACAATAAAGAATTGTAATTCAGGACAAGTGGTCTAAGAAAAGTGGGGAGGCTTAACTATTTTCAAACTTTTCCTACTGTCTCTGGTTTCTTCATCCGTGAACTTGGAAAAAGCTCCATTGTCCCCATCTCCAACCCACCCACACATACCGCACCCCCACCCTAGCACCTTTCTTTACTAATTCCTACTTTCCCCTTAGGTCTCGCGTACACATCACTTTTTCCAAGTGATGACTTCTCCCAGCCCCTCCACTCCTGCACCCTCCTGGGCTGTGTGCTCTGCACCATACTATCTTTAGGGGAATAAAATAGGTGTGGAGTAAGTGGATGCTACACAGACACACCCCCAGGACAAAACTGGAATGACAACTAAAATACAGAAAAACTTCCCGAATAATCAACAGAAGACTCGCTGAAGAGAAACCTGATAACCGAGGACCGAAAGTGGAGACTGCATAGAGACTGACAGGAGGGGCGGAGGTGCAAAAGGCCTGGTCGGGCTCCCAGAGACAACATCTGAAGTTCCAGAGAGATATCTCAGCTGTGGGAAATTGCCACTGAGAACTCTGTGGTCTAATCCCCAAGCTGGGCCCCAGAGCAGAAAGCACCAGAACTGAGAAGGGTACCCAAACTTGTGCTCTGGCAGAGGGAGGGCAGAGTGGACTGGAGCTGCATGAGCAGAAGCCAGGATTGGGGGCTCTGGGGTTAGAGCTCATAAGGCAGACACTCTGGTTTTCTATGTTGAGTCATTCCCTCATGCTGCAGAGGTCATATTTGCTATACAGGCGGCCTTGCCTGGGGGGGAAGACAGTTGACCCACCCTATTAGAAAACACCTTGCCCCATGGTGCGGAGTTAATGACACCCATTAAAAGACTGAGAATAACAATTAACCTCCAGGCAGAAGCAATTACTACACCCTGTTGGAAAAAAAAAACAAACCCTTGCCACACCTGTGGATGATTGCCTGGGGGCAATTCAAGATGGAATCCTATCAGTCTATATAGACAGAGGCAGTCTCTGGAACTTGGAGTCATTGCCTGATCTAATTAGTCTGAAATAGAGCTTGACACTGCCGTGCGTTAGAGATTGAGAAGCTTGAGAAGCGTAGGAGGTCTACCTAATACACAGTCACAAACCCAAACAGGCAGCCAAAATGAGGAGAAAAAGAAACAACACCCAAATGAAATAAAAGAAATCTCAAGAAGAACAGATAAATGAAATGGAGATAAGAAATTTATCTGAAACAGAGTTCATAATAATGATGGTAAAGATGCTCAACAGCATAAGAAAAGATATAGTGACTATGAAAACAAATAAAGAATGACATAGCACAAATAAAGAACACACTGGAAGTAATACACAGCAGATTAGGGGAAGCTGAGGATAGAATCAGTTAATTAGAAGACAGGGTAGAAAAAAAATAACTCAATCAGAGAACCAAAAAGGAAAAGTCATTTAAAAAACAAGAGGACAGCTTAAGGGAGCTGTGAGACAATGTGAAACGTAACAATATTCGAATAGCAGATGTGCCAAAAGAGGCAGAAAGTGAGTAAGGGATAGAGAATGTGTTTGAAGAAATAATGGCAGAAAATTTCCTTAACCTAGTAAAGGAAAAAGTCACACAAGCTCAGGAGGAACAGAGAACCCCAAGCAAGAAGAACCCAAACAGGCCCACCCATGATTAAAATGACAAAAATTAAAGACAAAGACAGAATCCTAATGTAAGCAAGAGAAAAGCAAACTGTTACCTACAAAGCAGCTCTCATAAGGCTGACATCTGATTTTTCATTAGAAACTCTACAGGCCAGAAAGGAATGGCATGATGTACTCAAGGAAATGGAAAGGAAGGATCTGAAACTAAGATTACTATATCCAGCAAGGCTATCATTCAAAATAGATGGTCAAATAAAGAGTTTCTCAGACAAAAAAAAAAAAAAAAAAAAGGAAAAAAGCTAAAGAAGTACATCACCACCAAACCAGCTTTACAAGAAATGCTAAAGGGACTGCTGTAATGAGAAGAAGAAACAGAGAGAGAAACCTATGCATACAGAATCAAAATGGCAATAAATAAGGACTGATCAATAATAACCTTAAATGAAAAAGGATTAAATGCTCCAGTCAAAAGGGATAAGATAGCTGAATGGATACAAAAACATGACCCAATGAATTGCTGTCTAAATGAGACGAAACTGAGAACAAAAGACACACAAAGGATGAGAATGAAGAGATGGAAAATTTTTTTCCATACAAATGGAAAAGAAAAAAAAAGCTGGAGTAGCAATAATCATATCCGAAAAAACAGAATTCAAAATGAAGGCCATGAAAAGAGACAACAAAGGTCACTACATAATACTAAAGGGATCAATCCAAAAACAGGATATAATCATGGAAAACATATATGCACCCAATATAGGATCACCTATATAAGCTTATATATAAGCTTCTAGAGGACTTAAGGGAGAGATTGAAAACAATACTGTCATGGTACGGGACTTTAACACCCTGCTAATAACTTCACTGGATAGATCTTCCAGACAAAACCTTAACAAGGAAACAGTGACTCTAAGGACACACTGGATCAGATTAATTTAATGGACATTTATTGAACGTTTCACCCCAAAGCTGCAGAATATATATTCTTCTCAAGTGCACAAGGATCATTCATGAAGACAGATCACATGTTAAGACACAAAACAAGTCTCTACAAATTCAAGAAGATTGAAATCATATCGAGCACCTTCTCACATCATGGTGGAATGAAATTACAAATCAACTACAGTAAAAACACCCAAAAACATTCAAACACATGGAGGCCAAGTAATATATTATTAAACAATGAATGAGTTACCAATGAGACCAAGAAAGAAATCAAAAACTTCCTGGAAACAAATGAAAATGAACACACAACCCAAATCTCTGGGACACAGCAAAAGCAGTCCTGAGAGAAAAGGTCATAGTTCTATAGACCTACTTCAAAAAACAAGAAAAATAAACTATTTAACACTACAACTTCAAAAACTAGAAGGAAAACAACAAGAAAAGTCCAGATTAAGTAGAAGGACGGAAATAATAAAGAGTAAAGCAGAAATAAATGACAGAGACTAAGAAAACAATACAAAAAAATCAATGAAATCAAGAGCTGGTTCTTTGAAAGGATACACAAAATTGATGAAACGTTAGCCAGACTCATCAAGAAATGAAGAGAGATATAAGCAAGATCTCGGCTGGCAGGATGGAGGTGAGGGAGAGGATGTGAGTGAGGGGGTGAAAGGAGAGTGTGTCAATGTGTGTGGTGTGTGTGTGAGTAAGGGACAGTTAAATCCTGCAGGAGTAGCAGGGGCTGACAGACCAGACTCTTCTGGACAGGGAGCACCTAACCCCGCTGTGGACAAACTGTGGGCTGTGGGGCTCGGGCACGGAGCCCACACCATCTAGAAGGGGAGAGTGGCCTCTTCTAGGAATTCATTAGCACCACCACTCAGACAGGCCTTGGACATTGCCTGTGACCCTGTAGCCACTCCAGCCAAAATCTTGCTGCCCCACCCGCAGACCTGCAGACCCTAGGACCTCCACCTCCAAGGGCGCACGGCTCCCACAGCAGTAAGTGCGAATTCCCCCCTCCCCAGCAGCAGATCTCTGTACACCCCAGTAATGTATTTACAGTGCACAGGCCTCCTGAGCCCACTGCTCCACAGGCAGTTCTTGGGTTCCACTGTGAGCCCCTGCTGAGTGTGCTCTTTTTTAAAATTTTATTGATTTTTTTACAGAGAGGAAGGGAGAGGGAGAGTTAGAAACATCAATGAGAGAGAAACATCGATCAGCTGACTCGTGCACACCCACTACTGGGGATGTGCCTGCAACCAAGATACATGCCCTTGACCAGAATTGAACCTGGGACCCTTCAGTCTGCAGGCCAATGCTCTGTCCACTGATCCAAACCAGTTAGGGATGGGTGTGCTCTTATACAAACAGGGGCACACTGCCCTGGCAGTAGAAATTCTGAATTCTCTCTTCCTGGATACATGCCCACAGACATCTCAGTTGTCCGACTTCAGCAACAGGGCCCCTCACAGTGTGTCAGTGTGCCACGCTGGCAAATGCACTGCCACAGTCGTGCTTTTCCAGAGTGCAGGCCTCCTGAGCCCATCGCTCCACAGGTCGCATTTGGGTGCCGCTGTGAGGCCCCACTGGGCATGCTCTTATACAATCAGGGACGCACTGCACTGCAGTAGAAATTCTGAACTCCCTCTTCCTGGATACCAGCCCACACACACTACGGGCTTGCGGCTTCAGCACCAGGGCCCTTCAGAGTGCATCAGTGGGCCGTGCTAGCAAACGTACTATGGGTGCCCCTGTGCGCCACCACTGGACACACTTGTATACAACCAGGGATGCAGCTACAAAAACTGAGTCTTCCCACCCAACAGCGGCAACACTCTGGACACCACAGTCACACTTTTCCAGCATGCAGGCCTCCTGAGCTCCACCATCCCGATAGATGGCTCCAGGGTGCCTCTGTGAGCCCCCGCTGAGCACGCGCAATTTCAACCAAGGGCGCAAGGCAGCAAAATTGGGAAAACTCCCTCCTTGGCTGCTGAATTCTGTACACTGCAGTTGCGACTTTCCAGCATGCAAGCCTACTGAGCCCACTGCCCCTACAGGCGGCTCTAGGGTGGCTCCTGGAGCCCCAGCTAGGCGTGCTCATATCCAAACAAGGGCGCACGGACCCGACAGTAGAAATTTGGACTTCCCCCTTCCCGGTTACCTACCCACAGACACTCCGGGCACATGGTTTCAGCACGCAGGCTCCCTGAGGCCACCGCCCAAGCAGGCAACTCCTGGGTGCCTCTTGAGCAGCCACTAGGCACACTTGTATCCAACCAAGAGCTCAAGGCCCCGGCCACAGAAACTAAGACTTCCTCCTCCTCAGCTGCCGACCTCCGCTCACTGCAGTTGCACCAATCCAGCATGCAAGTCCCCTGAACCTGCTCCCCCGGCAGGCGGCCCCTGGGTGCTTCTCTGAGCCTCTGCAGGGCACAACCGGGGCAGCTGACATCCAGTCCCCGCAGTAGCGCCTCTCCAGCACAGGGGCCCCGGATCCCACTGCCCCAGCAGACG